CGAGGTACCGGTGACTTTTAAGTACGCAATAAGATAAGTATATGCAGTTGAGTCCCAGGTGATGAGCAGCCCCATCTACGAGCATTTCTGGTAACGAGCGAACCTCTAGCAGAACATTTGTTACGGTGTAAGAGCTTCCGCTAAGTTAAAGAGTTATAAGTGTGTGTGTGTGTGTGTGTGTGTGTGTGCCTGTTTCCGCCGTTGAGTCTTGCTTCAAAAATGTGGGTTCCCGGTCTCAGCCTGCAGCCAATCAGTGAACTGATGCAGTTTGATTGGCTACATTTTGCAAGACGAGTGTTTCACATGACGAGCTCGGTGCCGGAGCGGATTAAACTCGTTAACCGAAGATCCACTCTAGTAATTCTGCGTGCAATCCCCCAAAAGCTCCTAACATCCTCGTTTTCAAGCCCGAGAAGAGGCATGTGGAAATCAATTTTAACAGATCCAAGACATAAAAAGAGGCACGAACTCTGAGATACTAGTTGAACCTGCGGCGATATCTTCTCGAGAGAGACTTTTCGAAATTTCTCTTTGGCTTTGAGGAAATAAATGCCAGCTAATTCTATATGTTAGTCTGCTACGTAATCAGAATAAATCTAATAGGCACCATCAAACACACGCAGCTGATAAAATTATAAAACGAGTAAGCCGACGCACTACGTCTAGAAACCCGTTGTTAATGCGCATGACATGCATTTTGTAAACTATAGCTCTTGCTTAAAACAAAAAAGCATGAGATAGCGAAAAATGAGTGATTCGAGTCAATCTCTTCACTTGCGTTTTTTGATCACGTGCTTTCCGACGTATAATGAAATACACTTCGGTATTTTTCCCCTGGTAACAGTTTGTCTTCTGAACATCGACACATTATTTTCGACACGGAATTCTTTTATACTGCTTAGCAGTGTGCAAGCAAGTTAAAAGTGCTTTGACAACACGAACTACTTTAAAGAAAGCCTGCGAGAAAATTACGTGGAAAAAGATGGAAATTTACCGATTTTTTCCAGGTAACATGAATAGCTAATTGTAAAAACTCTCACCGTTGCCTAAGCAGCTGCAAACTCGTACTCGCCGGTGCTTCTCCTTTTAAGGAGGAGCCTTTCGAATTTTTCATGAGATGAGAGATCGCGCGCACCTAGCGGGTGTCTGCTCGGCACCCAGAATGACTAATCGGCCTACTTACGGCTGGCTACTTAAATCCGTTCGTTAGATGAAGCCGCATTCGCTCACCTCAGCCAGACATCGCTATGACGCCCAGCTTGAGATACATTCACGCTGACCTAGAAACTAGTGGCTTTTAATGACGTCATAAAAAACTACATATAGTAAAAATTGATGTTCTTGCGACTTACCCTAACAGAAGTTCTGATTAACTGCAAATTTGCTGTTTTTCTTACCAGCTGATTATTATATTTGTCGTCATTTAGATGCAATTTCCTTGAGCACTTAAATACATATGTGAAAATGCTCACGCATTCGAAAGTTGAGGAGGATGTTAGATGAGATAATGAATTATATTCATCCGTGGATAAAGGTAAATTACACATATTAATGTGTCCAATTGGAGGCAAAATCGAAGGGTTACTGATGAAGTGGAAGTGACAAAGACAAAGGAGACCGGAATGGCCATTTCAGGCCTATGACTTGTCACCAGGCAGCATATCCAATCCCAGGGGTGGCAACACCCGAGATTTCAATCCTCGACCTGTGATACCTGAATACAGCACTTTAGCATTGCACTACGGGCCCGTTGTTTTCGTCAGTTGCGATCTGGATTATGATGATAGTAGGGCACTCACTGGTCTGCTAATGGAACATGCTCATTCAGTATATATTCCTTATGCTATTAATGTTGAGAATATTTAAGTTTTTTCTCAACCTTCCTTGCTGAAAGCTAACGGCGCTAAGCCCACTCCTATCTAATCTCTAAAAATCCAGCACTGTCTGGATACACATTACGGAAAACTCACACGTGGATACTCGCCTAGGATTTCGAAGCAGTTAGATATTCAGAATTTGCAGAATATTCCTACATTATCCTGTTTCTGTCATGAATGAACAGCCGGACTCAAATATGTCCCGCACATTTGAGATGCCCTGGTTGTAGTCTGCAAAAATATTTTGGCACGTGACTTAACAATTCGTCAAGGAATTTTCCGAGATGCTTCCTAAGCTACGAAATT